TTCCTATTGCTTAGCAGCTACAGTGCTAGGGAATCTAGATGCCTCCATGAGTCTGCTGCATGCGTGTTTCTCCAGACATCCTAGAATCCCAGATTGGATTGGGTTGGAAGGGACCTTAAGGCTCATCCTTTCCCTATCCGTTCCCTCCCTGCCCTTGTAAACATCCTCTATAAAAGCTGACTTCAGAAGATGGGGTATGAAAGCTTCTTGGGAGGTTTCAAATGAAGCTCAGCTCTGCGACATGGCTCCTCCTGAAGGCAATGTGATGGGGATAGCATTTGCTGGGGCTGGGCTCAGCGTTTGGATGCTCCTGCTTTACATGTAGAGTTACATTTCAGGATGCTGTTCAGTACGGACACGCAGTCCTATAGCTATTGTGTTAACCCAGCGTGACACAGCCCATGAGGCTGACAGAGGAGCTAATGTTCAGAGCAGTCACTCTGCACCTTGACAGTGAGCCCCAGCAGCTCATAAAGCAGACAGTGCCTGGCTGGAAAAGAGCTGCTGCTGCTGCCACTGATGCCATGAATACGATGAATACGCTGTGCTATTCCTTCCCAGCCTTGCTTGTAATTAGGGGCACTACTCCAGCATAGGCAGCATTTCAAACAAGATTCCCCAGTGGTGCCTATAAAGCATTTAGTCCATAAATGACCCAGCCCCACTGCATCCATCCTAGAACAAAAAGGCCTGACAAATGAGGATATTACCGGCCCAGTGCCCATTGTCCTCCTTCTTGTCGAGGCTGCTAGTACAAAATAGTGCCTGAATCTGGTTTGACTGAAAAAGCTTCTATGGAGAGAGCAGGATGAAGGAGCTGTCAGCACTTACCGAGCAGCTCAGGAAGCACAGGGACTGTGAGCCTATTGTTCAGCTGAAATCCACCCCCTGCTTCTCCCTTCCACTCCAAGCTCTCAGATTTATAATTTTTGAGAACTTTCTAAAGCTTATCAGAGAGGCTTTGCTCTCTAATACATCATATCTTAAACACAGATTCCCTAATGTCCTGTTCATTGGACTGCATTCAGGCTGAAAGGACTGCTGAGCATCTGGGATCGTCTTCGCTGTGGTGTGGAAATCTGCTTGGGGGTTTTCAGCTTGGTTTCCAAGGGAAGTGAGTCTGTGCGTGTCTGTCCATCTGCCCCCAGCAATATTGGAGCCTGTTAGTCTGTTTAGACTAAATATGATCCAGAGGTATGAGGAACAGGAGCAAAGTAGCACTCAAGCTGTGAGATGGGGTGTGTGTGTGTGTGTCCCCGTAAAGATGGGCTGGTGGTTCAGTGGAGCCTGCCTTATCTTCCCAACAGCAATGCCATGCCTCCCACACTTCCACATCACAACGTGCAGCCATTCTTCTCCTCCATGTCCCACAGTCTCAGTCAGGGGATCGCTGGGACTCACTCCTTGGTTCCTTCCCCACACCAAGTCCTTCTGTTGTTGCACCAGACAGTCTGACAAGAAGAAACTGCGGAGGTTTGGATAATTTAGTTCATCTCTTGTGATCTTTACAGGACAGCCTTCTTAATGCCCGCTGCTGATCTTGCTGATTTTGCCATGTTCCAAGCCTTTTCTCAGTTTTGCTTTACTATTCCATTGTTTCTGATGTACATCAAATTGCAGAGGAATCAATAGGCTTTGAGAGGGGAGCTACACAGCAGAGGATGGGAACTTCCAAATGGCACAAAGGGTGAAGAGGTAGAAGTCAAGGGACATTTGGGGTGAGAAAGCATAGACCAGGGTTAGAAGGGGTCCAGAGCAGTCTGCTTTCTGGGAAAGCCATTTCATCTGGGAAAGGCATATTAAGCCTGAGGAAAGTGCATTTATGCATGTAAATAAATAACATGATATTTAACCTTCTTCCCAGGCGTGCTGTGAGTGTGAATGTTTGCAAAGCTGTGAGATCCTTAGTTGAAAGGTGCTGTGAAAGTGCAAAGCATTATTAATATCCTTTACCTTACTCATAATAGAGTATGCATTCATTCTGGGGAGTTTCTGGACATAAACCAGACAGCTGCAGAATGACATTTCTTGAAAGCATCTATGATTTATTTTCTGCTCTTTAATTCCATTTTGTATTGAATGCACATTTGTCATAGGACTGTTGTTCCACTGGGCCTTTCAAGTCTAAAACAGACTTAGGGACCTGATCCTTAGCTGGGATACATTTACCCTCAACTTCACTGTAGCTATTTTCTGCTTTACACCAGAAGAAGACCTCAGCCCGAAGCTTCTAGTTGAATTTCCAAGTTTTGGTGTAAAATCCAAGTGGGTTTAATGACAGATAAGACTCTCTCTCCTGTCACTAACTGTCTGGCTGGAATTCTATAGGATCTTTTTGAGACACTGGGTGTCAGGTCCTGGGAGTGATGCTGTTTTTGCAGAAACTCGAGCCTCTGGATAGGTTCCCTGGCTCTGCCTTTTCCATTTTGTTTTAGACATGTTCAGCTTTAGAACCTGGGCCTGGAAGCTGGGAGGGCTGATGTGGTTCTTTCACATTGCACAGATTTATGTGAAAACAAAACCAAAATAGCTTAGTGGATCTGGACTTTGGTTTTTTGAGAGGGAAAGGAAGAGTTGGAAAGAAATGATTGAACACATTCAATAGCTATGCCTGTATTGCTAACTAGCATATTTAATGATGCTCATGAAGTCTCATCCTAACTGTGTGCTGGGCTGCACACAGCAGTGTGAGCAGCAAGTAGAGCTGTTGGAGCAAGCCCAAAGGAGGCCATGGAGCTGCTGCGAGGGCTGGAGCAGCTCTGCTCTGGAGCCAGGCTGAGAGAGCTGGGCTGGGGCAGCTGGAGAAGAGAAGGCTCCTGAAGGGGACACCTTAGAGCAGCTGGAGAACCAGCCTCGATCCTGTAACACCCAAGCAGCCATAGCAGTCCATGCCTGGTCAGCACATCTGATTGTAATAATGTCACTTGCTGCTAAAAAAAACCCCTCAGGAGATGCATTTTACACACTTTCTGTGACACTGAGTAAAGCAGGCTCCTCTTCTGTCACAAAGCTTCTCCATCTGGAGGAGGAGGATCATCTATCCAGATGATGGCCTATTTGTTTACTCAAAACATGCTGATGCATCTGGATCAGCCATCCCATTTGTAGCAGTGGATTCACTTGGGTCAGGTATCTGACCCAAAAGAATCAGAGAAAATGGAAAATTTTCCATAAGTGCTGCTACTTTTTGGAAAGGAATTTTTCTATTGGAAAATGAATTGCCACCTTTCTTTTTAGCAGGATCACCGTGTGAGTGACATTTCCATTAGAATTACCTTATGGCAAAGCTCTTTCCAACTGAGCTAACCAAAATGTGTATTAGCATCTTGATCAGTGGCGATTTCTGAAGTTTGCCTTTCTCTCACGGCAGAACTCTTATGTTTCCAAGTATTTCCCAAAACATTGCTCTAATATCTCCAGCTGTAATACTTTGGGAAGATATCCCAGGGGAGAAATGAAAGTCAGAGACTGACTGCAAAGAGGACATGGGAAAAGCCAGTGGTTGCTTCAGACCTCATCCCTGCTCTCCTGCTTTCTGATAGAGCAGCAGCCTGAGCTCTGTGTGCACTCAGATGAAGTTGGGATTTGCATGATGGGTTTCCAGCAAGGAAAATGCAAACAGCATCTTATTTATAACAGCTGAGCTTAGGGATAAATTCCCCAGCAGCATCTGGCTACAAGGCCCTTCCCAGCCATGGGAGCAGGGACAGGGCTCATTCTGGAGACAGCAGGGCTGGGACTGCCCGTTTCCCTCCTTCAGAGATGTCCCATCGCACTCTTTGTCCCATAGAGGTTTGTTTTTCAGGCTGATCTATTTGCAGTGGGATTTGTGGCTTCTGTAAAAAAATAAAAAACAAAAAAAAGGATAAAAACAAATGAGAAAAAATAAAACCAGGCAGATTCCACGAGCTCTGTGTTCCCCCATCTCTTCCCTCCTCCTCTTTCTCTCCCTCTCTTCCCCTCCCCTTCCCTCTCCTGGCTCTGTTTTCCTTTTCATGCCAATAACTAGAAGGCTGTAATTTCAAAGCTGCAGCGGCTTTCCCAGCGCCGGGAGGAATGTGCAAGTGCCTGGGATGTTTCTGCAGGGAGCTGCGCAGCCCTGCTGTGCTCTGCAGCCCAATGGGGCACGAGGCAGCACTCGCCCCTTCCCAGCAGCATGGGCAAAGGGGCATTCGGAATGTCACTCCACAGGATGCTTTATTCCCTTTCCTTAAAGTAGCTTCCTTATTGTGCGTGTCAAGTCTTTGGGTTTTAAAGTTGATGTTTATTTTCTGGAAATAGGTTCATCTCAGCCTCCTTTTCTGCCCGTGCTCTTCTGTCACCTCGGCATGAGAGAAAGGGAGGCTCCTTTTGGATGGGATGAGTTGCACCTTAAACTCCACTGAGTGCAATGACTCTACTTCATGGGCAGATATGTCAGGCTCGGGCGTTGCCCAAAAAGCTCATCCCAGAGAGAAACGATATGAAAGGAGGAACAGACATTAAAGTTGGAGGGTTTTATAGAAATGGCCGTGTTGTTTTCAACAAAGTGTTTGATTTGATAAACCCAAAAGTTTTTGTAAAAACTTTTAATTAGTTAATTAATTTTAATTGAAATTAATTAAAAAAAGAATTTACGTTTCCAAAACAATATTGGAAAAAGTTCCAACATGGAAGAAGGTCAGAATTTATACATTTAAAAATGCCAAGCTTCTGTTCAAAGCATGGGTGTAAGCTCAATGGAAGGTCACTTGAAATAAAAGACAGAAATCACTAAAGGGATTACGTACTATTTTCCTTGCCTCACCTGCATATTTTCATTTTAGAGTGAAGTCTTTAATTTCTAGTCAAATACCTCAATTTTGTCATGCAATTTCAGAAACACCAGCTCTTAAGATTAAAAAACATTTCCCATCCCAGTTGCTGTTGCTCCTGTTCAATCTGTCTTGTACTTGCCTTTTTCTCTGTTCATTCCTCCTTTTCTGTTCTACTACATGTAAGATCTTCCTCTGTTTTTACAGGCCCTCCTGTTGCAGGGACACAAAATGTGAATAAGACAACAGAACAGCAACGGCCCCAGCCAGGTAAGTGTTGGGTTTGTCCCTGCTGCGTTTGCTGGGTACTTAGATCTGTACTAGATTGGGTGAATGTATGTGTCAAGCAGCACAGGACAAACGGCAGAGCCTGACAGGGAAGTCTCAGAACAATGAGTCAACAGCGACCAAACTCTTTCTATTTTCCTGCATTGTCCTTCCCCATTCAAAAGAAACATCCTTGTTTCAGCTGAGCCACACGCAGTGCCCAGCACGAGCTTCAAAGCATCCCAATGTGCTGTGCTGTGCTGTAGGTAGGGAAGCAGGCAGGGGCACGGAGCTCTTGATGCTGCAGTGGTGGAGTGGCTGCTCTTTACCTCCTCACCTCGGCTGCAGGGATGGTCAGTGGAAGTATCTCCAAACAGAATCAACAGGGCTTCCCCTGCGTCAAAGAAAACCAAATAAGTGAACCCTGTTGGGCAGCAAGCAGTGGTGTTTCCTGCTGGTTTCCCAAGGGGCCTTTGAAAAACTGAATACCACCTTCTCTGCTTTGCACAGCTGCTTTCTATCCCTTGTTTTTTCTTAGGGGGTGGTTCTTTTGGCATCGATTCAATCCACGAGCAAATGCTATAGATCCGAATCGCCAAACCCAGAGAGGAGCAAAGGAGAAGTATAGAGATTAGAGCTGAGGAGGCCCCTCAAAAAGGGGAAGAATTCATTCCTAATAAATGCATTGCGGGGTTTTCAAGGAACACTCAGCCTTGTTGGAGCCAGTGATCAAAATCCTGTTACTTTCATCTGTCTAATGCCCTGTTTGCTTCGGTAAGGGGGAGTTAGGTGAGCACTGCATTCCCTCATTTCAGCAAGCTCAACTGCTAACAAGTGAATTTGAAAATCTCGTCTGCTCTCCAGCTCTTTTTATTAGCAGAAATGTATTTGCTCCTGATTTGTCACTGTTCTACTATCCCACGCTTCTTTTTTTCACGTTCCATGTTTTCTAGCTGACACGTAAGTGTAGGGTATGTCCAAAGAGATTACAGACTTTGAAAGAAGGCAAGTCTGAAAGCAGTGCCAGAAACACTGTGCCATTTGGGATTCCATAAATAATTAGTGGTTTTTTGCTAAAAAAGAAAGAAGGAACAGCATCAGGTTTTGTTCCAGGCCCTAGGAGGAGTGGCAGTAAGAGTAAAGAAAGAAAATGAACATTTGAACTGGTTTGCAGAATAAGCAATAATGAACTGTTGTTTCTTTTGGAGAAATCATTTTTAAAAATAGCTTTTATTGGGTGTTTTTTTAGATCCCTATCAAATCCTGGGGCCCACCAGTAGCCGTCTTGCCAATCCAGGTAAGTTCACCTTTACATTTCAGACCACCACAATCAAAGGGATTAGCTACTACATGAGTAGCTGTTGTTCTCTGCCACTGGGGTAGGCAGTGAGAACCACTGACCATAGTAGCTGTGTTCTCATGAGTGCTTTTGCAAAACTCCTGACAGAAAAATGAGGAAAGTGGTGCAACATCACCTTTGTCAGGACAAAATCACCATCCTGAATGTTCTTACCAAAAACTAGAGTTCCCTGAGGAGAGTTTTATGGGGGACTTCAAAGCTGGTCTCTCAGATTTGCAGTCCAGTTCAGTTTTTCACTGTCTGCTATGGGATAGCTGAGTGGAAGGCACGAAACATCTCTGAAAATCACCATGTAGTAACTGTCCCTAGAATGTCATCTGCAGAAAACAATCCCTGACTTTGGGGAGTGAGACCTGGAGTAAATCTTGCTTGTACTAAACAAACTTGTACGTGTTGAATGCTGGTAAGGAAGCATCCTCATATGGCTCTTCACTGTGAGTATAACCACACCAAATAAAACCAGGAGTCACCTAGTCTGAGGAAGAAATAGTCTTCTGTTACTCAGATCACTAACTGGAAAGAAAACTGGAGGTATCCAAAGCAATATCCATGGAAAACAGTAAGAAACCAAGAGCTGGAGTATACTGTGTTAACTACTCTGTGAAGCATTTTGCAGAACAGTGTGCTCGGGAAAAAGCCTGTTTATGAATAGCCCGAAGATTTTAAGGCCAAAGGCGACCATTATGAAATCTAATCTGACCTCAAACTCACGAACAGAACAAAGGGTTGACTAACTTGTTTGCTGGGAACAGTTTATCCATTCGTACGTAGGGCTTTCTAAGGCTTGAAGGAGCAGTTCCCAGTAAAGATCGAGATAGTCCTTCTGTTTCCTGCCTTTGTCTTTGCCTTTAAGCAGGAAGCACAGTGTCATTTCCTTTCCTTTTTGGCTTGCTTCTCGCAGGGAGCGGGCAGATCCAACTGTGGCAGTTCCTGCTGGAGTTGCTGTCGGACAGTTCCAACGCCAGCTGTATCACGTGGGAAGGGACCAATGGGGAATTCAAGATGACGGACCCTGACGAAGTGGCACGGCGCTGGGGAGAACGCAAAAGCAAGCCCAACATGAATTACGACAAGCTGAGCCGAGCCCTCCGATACTACTATGATAAGAACATTATGACCAAAGTGCATGGCAAAAGGTATGCTTACAAATTTGACTTTCATGGCATTGCCCAGGCTCTTCAGCCTCATCCCACTGAATCATCGATGTACAAGTATCCATCAGATCTCTCCTACATGCCGTCTTACCATGCCCATCAGCAGAAGGTGAACTTTGTACCCCCACATCCCTCTTCTATGCCTGTCACATCATCCAGTTTCTTTGGAGCAGCCTCACCTTATTGGACCTCCCCTGCAGGAAGCATTTACCCAAATCCCAATGTCCCTCGCCATCCCAACGCCCATGTATCACCACACTTGGGCAGCTATTACTAGATGCTTTTATCTTCAAGTGGCCTTTATCAGTCTGGTTGAACTTTTTCTTTACTTCTGGGATTTTTATGGTTTTTTGGGGGACCCTTAATGGATAATTGTGGCCTTTCTGGGGAAGAATTAAAACTGGATATTGGTTATTCCTGGACCAAACCTTTTACTTTTGTAACTTTGCCTCTTGTGTCTTGAACTGAGAGATGGATGCTTCTTTGGGCCAGTACTCTGCATTTTCTTTGGTTTTTAATGCTTATGTCCTCTGTAGGAATTGACGATGAAGATTGTTTGCAATTACCTGGAACGATTATTAGCTTTTTGGTGTGAGAAGTTTTTCAGGATTCAAAGGCTTTTGACAAGACATAGATCCAAGTGTGGGTCGTAGGAAAAGATGACTACATGGGGTTTTTTTCTCGCTGTGGAGAGGGTAGGACACTTGACCATTCAGTGGAGGACATTGGGCTGCAGGGGACCGCAACTGGAATCTTAGCTTTAAGGCAGATGAGGATGTTCACCCAACTGGAAATTAAATATATATATATATATTCATATATATATATGT